CCCCCCCCCGCTGCTGCTGCTGCTGCTGCTGCTGCTGCTGCTGCTGCTGCTGCTGCTGCAGCGCGTCGAGGGCGCGCAGCGCCTGCTGCTGCTGGCCGTCGAGGGCCAGCAGCAAACTGCCAAAGAAGGGGAAAATAAAGTGTCTCCTTTTTTGCGACTTTTCGTAAAAGTCTCCTCTGCTGCAGACTTCAAAAGCTGCTTCCAAAAAGCCCTGCTGCAGGCAGCAAAACAGCAGGCAGCGCAGCCGCCAGCCCACCGCAGCGTCCATCGCAGCAGCAGCAGCAGCAGCAGCAGCAGCAGCAGCAGCAGCAGCAGCAGCAGCGGCGGGGGCGGCAGCAGCGGGGGCGAGGGAGACGGGGGATGCAGCAGCGGGGGGACAGCAGCGGAGACTCAGGGGGAGGGAGGTCTCCTGCTGCTGCTGCTGCTGCTGCTGCTGCTGCTGCTGCTGCTGCTGCTGGTTAAGCTGCAGGCGGTGCAGCAAGGAAAGCGGGTCACTTGGGGGCTAGCCGCTGTCTGTCTCTTTTTAGGGTTTGGGGTTTAGGGTTTAGGGTTTAGGGTTTGGGGTTTGGGGTTTAGGGTTTGAGGTTCTTCATATTTCATGATTTCTTAGCGTTTGCAGCTGCTGCTGTTGCTAATTCTAGTGCTGCTGCTGCTGCTGCTGCTGCTGCTAACCAGTGGCTCGAGCCCTGCTGCTGCTGCTGCTGCACTAAAGCTGCTGCTTCCTGCGAATGGCAAATAATGAAATTATAAAAAAATAAATAAATTAAAAATAAAGGAAAAGAAACAAATGAAGCTGGTAAGCGTGAGCAGCAGCAGCAGCAGCAGCAGCAGGAGCTGCTGCTGCTGCTGCTGCTGCTGCTGCTGGCCCGAAGGCCCGGCAAGGGCTTGCTGCAGGAGAGAGACAGAGCAGCAAATCTTGAGTTGTTTGAATTGGATCTAATTAAAAAAGAAAAAGCAAAAAAGGAAAAAAAAGATATTTGCGGATTTATTTGTTTTGCTGCTGCTGCATGCAGCAGCAGCAGCAGCAGCAGCAGCAGCAGACCAGTGGCAGCGCGTGTCTCGGGGGCCCCCAGGTGACCCCGGGGGCCCCCAGCAGCAAACTGAAAACACAAAAAATAAAACTGTCTCCTTTTTAAAAGGAGACACTTGAAAGAAATAAAAGGAGACAGTCGCGGAGACGCAGCAGCAGCTTGCTGCTGCAGCTGGTGCACCACTGCAGCCAGCAGCAGCAGCAGCAGCAGCAGCAGCAGCCGCAGCAGCCGCAGCCGCAGCAGCCGCAGCCGCAGCAGCAGCAGCAGCAGCAGCAGCAGCAACTGCAGCAAATGCGTTTTCTTTGTGGGGTGTACGGACAGCACCAATTAGTTTGGAGTGTCTAGACACTGCAGCGCGCCGAGTGTCTCCTTTGTGTCTTTTGCTTTTTGTCTTTTTCATTTTTGTTTTCCTTTTTGTCTTTGCTGCAGCAGCACTGTCTTGCTGCAGCAGCGCGAACTTTGCTGCTGCTGCTTTGCTGCTGCTGCTTTGCTGCTGCACCTCCAGGGGCCCCCGCTGCAGCAAAAGGAGACACTACAACAACCCCACCATGAGCCCCAGGGCCCCCCCCCCCTTCTGTCTCCTTCTTTGCCTCTTTGCTGCTCTTGCTGCTGCTGCTGCTGCTGCTGCTGCTGCTGCTGTTGACCTGGGAGCAGCAAATGCCGCGGGGCCCCCCGGGGGCCCCCCCGGGGGGCCCCCGTGGGGCCCC